GGCCGCCATTTCCTCGCAGCCTCTTCCTGGTCCCCTCCCCTGAAGCGAAATAGGCGCCGCGGGATGGAGGGACGTGTGTTTGAGGGTCTCCGGAAAACTGGAGGGGAGATGGAGAATTGGGTTCTTACGAAACTCTTTTCCACCCTCCCGAGGACCCCCCCACCCCCACTTCATCCTTCCTCACCCCACCCCGCCACCTTGTGGGCTAGGGACCCAGAGAGCAGGAGCTGGTCCCAGCGCTGGTTACTGCCAGTCACCTCACCCGGCCCAGGGCACAGCTACCCCTTACACCATCCCCTGCAGATTAGAGTCATGTCCTTCACTTTGCTTCGCCAGAGAGCATTTCCTCCTCTCCTGGAGCTTCCTGCTTCTTTTTCCAAGACAGAGTTTTTTCTTGCCCTCCCTGAGGCTCAGTTTCTCCATCTCTAAAGTGGGGATGGCAATGACAATGACATCTTATATATGAGAAACATATCCTGTGCAAAGGAGGGGGAGCAGGAAGAGAGAAAGCGCCATGGAGGGGCATAGAAAAATGATCCTGGACAAGGGTCCTCGTATTGTTCAGGTAGATGTCCTATCCAGTGTATTGTTCAGATGGAGCATTAGGATAGGTAAGTGGTTCAGAAAATAATTACTGAATAAATTACAGTGATTCTTACATATTGTTTCTCAGTACCCATCTCTTCTTTCCAAAGCCTAAGATTCTCTACCAGAAGGCTGGAGGGATATGTGTTCTGTTTGTCTGTTTGGGGACGTGGGGAGTTGGGGTATCCATTCACAGACAACATAATCCCTCACCTCTCCAGTGGAGTCCTGCACCACACTAACGGCTGACCTAGTGAACTTAGCTGCTTTGCCCTCACAAGACTGAATTTCAGTCAGCGTAGGAGCATGTTGAAAAAGTGCTCCTTGTGACACTCCCAGCCTGGAATTTCACTTTCCACCCTGGTTTGTACTTTAAGCAGTTGTCTGTTTTGCAATAACCCTTAAGTCCTATTGTGGAGAAACCTTCTTTTTTTTTTTTGCAGTTTTTAGCTGGGGTCAGGTTTGAACCTGCCACCTCCAGTATATGGGGCCAGTGCCCTACTCCTTTAAGCCACAGGCGCCAGGCAAGAAACCTTCATTTTTACTGACAGTGCTAGAAATTCTCCCTGATGTAAAAAGAGCTTGATTTGTAAAGGAATTTACAATGCATTTTCCATGGTGGTCTGGGGGTAGGGGTGCTGAGAATTTGCATTTCTAACAAGGTCCCAGATCATGCAGATACCACCTATCCAGGAACCAGATTCAGAAAACCACTGGCACAAGCCATCAATGAAGAACCCCTTAGGCCTGGATTATTGTGACCGCAAATTTTCTGCCTGATCCTGCCTAGTAGCTCATGCTCATGGTTGAAAATGAATCCCCTGACTCTGTGGTTTAGCATTGTGAGTAGGCTGCACACTCTACCTTCCAGCAAACTCTCCTGGGTAGCAGTGATAGATTTGAGAGTATGGGATCACTAGTAGGAGGTGTGTGCACTGCTGCCCTGACAGGTACTGCTGTACCTTTGCACGTCTCTAGTGCTGACCGCTGACCTCCAGCTTCTGTTGTTTGACTGCTTCCCAGAGCCCTTCTGAGTATTCTAAATCCATCAAAGAGAAAGCAAATACCGATTACCAGGGAACAGTGGGTGGTTTCCTGAGATTTACTGACATCTAGTGGCTAGTGGAGAATCCTTCCTCAGAGAAATTTCTGGAAAATTAACTGAGCAGCCTAGGAAAGCAAAAGCACTTAACTAGTTTACCTCCTGCAAAAGGCTTCCTGAAGGGTTTAGGAACGCAAGGTAACAGTGACTAGCTGAACACAACAGTTAAAATGGATTTCTTGCTTTCCTGGGAGCTGTGATAGAAATTAGAAGTCATCAAAAAAATCTCAAAACACCTCTTACTGCATCTTCAATTTCAGCGATTTTCTAGAAATGGTGCTTAGGGAAGAGTGTCCTTAAGTGAAATAGAATCAGCTAATATCACCTTGGTATTTGCCTCCTCTCTCAGGACAGTTCTCTGGGCCCAAAGCCCTAAAATAGCACAAATTTTAACAACCCAGTGCCAAGATGGTCAGATCTACATAGAAATCTGTAGTTCAGATATAGCTGGCACTAATCTGAGGATGATAACGACTAAAGATCCTTGAGAAGTGTCATTAAAGACTACTGTGATCTGAACAAATAAACAAGATACCCGCCATGGAGATGCCACAGGCACTCAGAATTCCGTGGGAGGCACAAGGTATCATAAATAATCATATATCTTATCTGGCAGGGCCAGGTGGTTCATGCTTGTAATCCTAGCACTCCAGGAGGCCAATGCGGGTGGATCGACTGAGCTCACGAGTTCCAGACAAGCCTGAGCTAGAGCACATCTCTAAAAAATAGCTGGGAGTTGTGGCCGGCACCTATAGTCCCAGCTACTTGGGAGGCTGAGGCAAGAGGATCACTTGACTCCAAGAGTTTGAGGTTGCTTGAGCTATGACCCTAGGCACTCTATTAAGGACAAAAAAGTAAAACTCTGTCTCAAAAAAACAAAAAGTTATTGGGCAGCACCAATAGCTCAAAGGGTAGGGCACCAGCCACATACACCAAGGCTGGCAGTTCAAATCTGGCCTGGGCCTGCTAAAATGACATCTGCAACAAAAAAATAGCCAGGCTTTGTGGCAGACACGCTTGTAGTCCCAGCTACTTGAGAGGCTGAGGCAAGAGAATTGCTTAAGCCCAAGAGTTTGAGGTTGCTGTGAGCTGTGACACCACAATACTCTACCCAGGGCAACAGCTTGAGACTCTGTCTCAAAAAAAAAAAAAAAAAAAGTATCGTATCCTATCTGGTTTGTACTTTTATTATTCTTTTTTTTTTTTTGCAGTTTTTGGCTGGGGCTGGGTTTGAGCCCGCCACCTCCAGCATATGGGGCTGGCGCCCTACTCCTTGAGCCACAGGAACCACCCTGGTTTGTACTTTAATGAAAAATTTAGGCTGGGTAAGGGCTTACACCTATAATCCTAGCACTCCAGGAGGCCAAGGTGGGAGGGTCACTTGAGGCCAAGAGATTGAGGTTGCATTGAGCTATAGGGCTACTGTACTGCAATCCAGATGAGCTGGAGACTCTCTTAAAAAGGAAAAAGAAAAAAGAAAATTTAAACTACTTGGTACAGGAACAAAGGGGAAGCAATCAGGGATCATAAAGGAAGCTGCTCCTTAAAGTTGCCATTTTAGGATTAAACAGACCTTTAACGTTTGGAGAACTAGCTGTGAAGGGTTTAAACGTGGCCTTGAGACCAAGCAGTATTAGCACACTCTTGGACATCACCCTAGAACTACATAATCAGAAATTCCAGGGATAGAGCTCAGCAATATGATGTCATAAGCCCTGTAGATTATTCTGAAGCACACTGAAGTTTCAATAACACTGGTTTAAATAAACTTTGGATGCCTTGAAAAACCTAAAAGGCTATTTAGGCTTTATAAATGAGCTCATGGAGGAGACAATTATTTCTGTAACATAAGCCTACCTATGTTTGTTTTTGACACCATAATTGTAAGCCAACTCTTTTTTTAACGTACAAGGCTACCTTAGATCTTCTAGTTTGTGGTTAAATGATAAGGATTATTTGCTTTTACTTCTTTGGACTTAGGAGAATACAGTCTTGATAAAGTAGAAAGTTTCCAGAAGTAGCTTAATAGTCCTGTGAACATGGTAGTAAGTATAAAAACAAAGAGGAAATGTTCAACCTTAATATTAATCAAAGAAACCAATTAAAATAGCAGTGAGACATAATTTCTCAACTAAAAAATTGGCAAAGATGAAAAAATAATGTGCATTATTAAGGCAGGCATGGGGAAAAATAACATGCATTTCTAGTGGAAAGACAAAGTACCATAATTTTTCTGGTAAGATAAATCAAAATCCTTAAAAATGTGTACCTAGGCTCAGCACCTATGGCTCAAGTGGCTAAGGCTCCAGCCACATACACCTAAGGTGGCAGGTTCGAATCCAGCCCGGGCCCACCAAACAATGGCGGCTGCAACTATAAACTAGCCAGGCATGGCGGCAGGTGCCTGTGGTCCCAGCTACTTGGGAGGCTGAGGCAGGAGACTCGCTTGAGCCCAGGAGTTGGAGGTTGCTGTGAGCTGTGA